AGTTCATTATAGTGAAAATGTCACACGGCAATGATTGAATGATCGGTTTTTGCTTAAGCTTAAGAGCTGATGTTCAGCCAACGTCCATCGAACGTTTGGGCGTAGACACAGCAGGGTGGAATGTGAGTAAAAGTCCATTTAAGCACAGCAAAAAGCCATCGTAATTATTTTTTTGTGGTTTTACAAAAATTTTCTTTAAAGTTTCATATATTTATTTATTTATTTATATTTTTTTTTAATTTTTGATGCTATTGTGTTAACTGTCATGTTGCAAATATAAATATTTTTTTGAGCACCAGGAAGTGTTTGGTTTTGCTAGCAACATTTTTTATTTAACGCTCAATTGCGCAAACATGTTCTGCCAACTTAGTGAGTTATTACAAAATTTTTTATATATAGAAAAGAAGAAAGAAAAAAAGAGTTTAGTAAACTTCCTTTTAAGTAAAAGTAAGAAAAATATGTTTGCCTACTTAAGTGCTTTCTAATTATGAATTCAATTCATGCAGAAAATTAGAAAAAATAAATGAAACTTCTAAGTTTTTTTCTTTGCAACATGAGTAGAGCAACATTTTGGAGGCTAACATTGCTTTTCAATGTGATTCATGTTATGTTAATGAATTTTGTTTTTTGTTTTTTCTATTAAAAAATATAACAAAAATAAATAATTTAAATTGTTTAAAATATCAACTTTAAAAAATATAGTTTTTGATATATTTTCATTTGTGTATAGAAAATAAATTGCGTAGCAGCCTTCAGTATTGGAAACAACATTTCTCAAAAATATTGCTTAAAAATTTTCTTTTTATATATATTTCGCATAAAAACGTCGGTCTTTTTGTATGTTTTAATATATTTTATATTTACATTTTTTTAATAAGTCGTGTCAGTGATAATAATTTTATAAATTTTTTTTTTTCATATGAAATTTGTTCCATTTTTCTTAACATATTTTTTTTCTATATATTTTGTATCTCAAAAATCAACAAAAAAAAGTAACAATCGCAGACGGCAGCAATGCCAAACGCCATTTGCCTTCAATTTTCGTCGCTTGTCTGTATAACGTTTAGTTTAATTCTTTTTTATTATTTTTAAATAAAGAAAATTTTTAGTTTTTGAAATGACTGAAATAAACTAATACTAAATATAAATTTAGTTTTTGCAAAAGTTCTATAGGTCTGTATAATTTTTTTATACATTTTAAATCTGACATTCTATAGCAGGATCGCTATTATAGATCTCTATAAGATCTCTTTACTATCCTATATCTCCATGACGTCTATACTATTCTAGATCTCCATAAGGTCTATAGTATCCTAGATCTCCATACCAGGTACAATTGGGTTGGTGGCCTTGTACACTAAAGCCCACTTGAGCACAAATAACAGCCTGTGATTATACCACTATTAAAGACGCTGCTTATACGCTAGAACAGGATGGATGGAACAGGATAGATGATCAAAATGTAGTAAAATAGGCACATATGTTAATGTAGAAAAGTGAAGTATAAGTCGGTCGAGCTTTCTCAACAGGCTTGATGATACCATATTATTTGCAAGACGCATCGAATAATGATATCATTTGGCTGATTATTGGAATTAGTTGCCTTTGTGGTTAAATACCTTGCTTTGAATTATTTTGTGAAAAATTATACACTAACTATTTTGAAAGATACTATTAACCATTATGATAAAATATTACTTATATTATCTTACTGAATCATCACTGCAATACCCTACAAAATATCAAACATTTTTTTTTAAACTTTTGATTCTAAAATAAAAATCATATTATTTAAAAACATAATTGTTCCCTACAAAAAAAATTAGTTTCATATTATTTATAAATAATGTATTAAAAAAAATTCCAATACGGTGTTTTTACAAAAAGTGTGTCCAATTTTCTTTGAACTTTTTTTTTTGATTTCATTTTTAAAATATTAAAAATATTTACACAATAAAAACTTGTATGAGGTGAAAAAAATATATATTTTTTTCTACATAATTATATATATTTTCTATAAAAACAATAACAAGTAACAGCACAACAAATAAAGCAATTAAATTTATTTATCTCTGTCGTCTGGACTTTTTCAAAGTGTGCTACTCTGCTTTTTCTTGAAGAATTTCTTTCATATAAATTTTATGTCTTTAATTTTAAATTATTAAAATTTAAAAAATGTTTGCAAAAAATTTACAAAATTTTAGCAATATAAAAAAAATATAAAAAATTAGTTGATACATGGACCAGAAGCAAATTTTTTTTCTTATTCATAATGACATTAAATAAAACTACGACAAAATATAGAATATAAAAATATAGAATAAAATTAAAAAAAAGATGAGAAATAAAATGAATAAGAAATAAATGTATTGAAGAAAATAAAATCGTTTTCTGTGATGATCGTGTCCAATAAAATAGGATGATATATGCAAATTCATTAACAAAAAAAAAAAATACATATATTAAAATATTGAAAATAAAACGCGTTGCTACTCTACAAAGTGGTGCCATATTTAAAGTAATTATAAGACATATTTCATTATGATTAAATTAGATTCCTACTTAGGAAGAAATGAAACAAGGTCAATTTGAAAAAAAACCACAAAAGATATTAAATTGAAGTTTTTTTGAAAGGCTTAAAGAATTTTTAAATTCATTTTTTAAAGTGATTAAATCGTTAATTGAAGGCGATTCATTATTAAATTGTAATTTTTTCTTATTGATGATATACCTTTTGGATAAATCATAATATGGCAAATCAAAATTTTTAATTGTTTATTTTTAATGGTTAGTTCATTAATTTTCATTATATTAAATTTATAATAAATTAATTTTTACAATTACAATTTACAGTTAATTAATAATCTTAATAAATGAATTTTATACATACAACTAACTTTTATAGTACGTAAGACAACATTGTTGTTGTTGCAAATTTTCTTTTTGTACATAGTTTTTGTATTTGCGTTAGTATGTTTTATTCTTTTATGTAATTTAAAAAAATCAACACATAACCTAACTCAAACATATACAACACGCTTTGAAAAGAAATTGCAAAATAAACTTTAGAATAGATGACAATGTAGTACGTATAAAACGTTTGCATAAACGTTTTGAATATTGAAAGCACTTAGAATTAAATTATTAATAAATGAATCTTAGGTTTCGAAGAATTTTACGATTTTATTCTTTGCTTTGAAGAAACAAGTCTATGGAACAGGGTATATATATCTTCTTTAGACTAGATTTATTTAGTTAAGCTAAGGTAATTTTAGAAATAATGAATATATTATAAAAATAAACGTTTTATTAATATAAAAAATTTATAAATTGAATAAATTTTATTTTATTGGCATTAGTAATATAAGTCAGCTAGGATTGAAAGCTGAAAATAGAACGTTTACCTTGAACCCTAAATTTAGGAGAAAATGGGTATTAAAAAGTGTTTATTGCTTTTTCCTATTAAAATTTTTTTCAAAATTCGAAAGAAATTATTTTTTTATTGTCAATTGGGTAACTTTATATTTAAATCAATTTCAGTTTCTGCGTCAGTTGATTCCTTTTAATATTAAATAGAAATTTATATATAATATCAGAAAGAATTATTCAGAATTTGTGAATTTTTTAACGCTTGAAATCATTCAATGATTTACGATCGACTGATGTCAATTGAGGGTGTCAAAATATTTTTCGTACTAAATAATATTTTATTATACAATATACCAGACATATAAATATATATATAATATTTTCTATAAGTTAGAAAACAACAAAAAAAACAGTTCTAAAAAATAAAAAAAAATCATTTAATAAAAAACAGAAAACATGTTTGGCGACTGTAGAAATAATAAAAAAAATGTCTACTGAAAGTACGTAAGTCTATTGCGAAAATTTCGTCTCCACGAGAAAATACATATAGAATATTTGTCGTATTCTGTTGTTGTTTTTGTTGTTATTTGAAGAAAAGTAACAAGTGTTTTCCATTTTTTTTTTTTGGTTTTCATGACTCATTTTGTTGAGTAAAACGAAAAGAAATAAATAATACGAAATAAAAATATTAGATAAGCCCTACTGTCTAGCAGTTGTGGAATCAGTTGAATGTTCGGTATGTTTGATATATTCCCGGATTAGACTAAAGTAATATATCTTTCAAAAATTTGTTTGTAGAAAAAGTATATATTTTATATTCAAATATTAATGGTTGTCATAGAATCATGAGTAAACAAGTGTATTAATAATGAGGAATATAGAAGAGCGTTATTTGGCATACACATTATATCTTGAGTTGAAAAAACTTTTAAATATTCTCCAAAAGATGGGTTTATCCAAAATATCGTATTGTGATCTTTTACTTGAAAAAAATAAGAGGAGAATCACATTATTTTTGACTGCTCCGTTTTTTATGTGCCAGAAGGAGAATTGGAAGCTCTTAGTTATTTGGGACAATTCAAAGAGTGAAGATTAGAATTTCAAGAAGTAGTTCTAAAAGGCAGAATACAAAGAATGACTTCTTTGGTATAAGGATTTTATCCCTATTTTATACCCTTTTATAATATATGAGATGATTACATCTTATATTTTCATGATGTTTAGTAAGATTTTTTGAAAATTAAGCTTAATTTTTCAAATAACTTAAAATTTGTTTATTTAAAAAAATTTACTTTTTTGTGAACCTCATAGATATAATGTTATCGAAGTTAATTAGATGTCTTCATAAATTATTGAATCATATTTTGTTAATTAGTCAAAATACCATTGATTTTTAATTGCATTTTATAAGATTAAAAATGTTTACAAAATAACTTTTTGATATGTTTTAATTTATTTTAATTTAAGTAAATATTTTTGAATTAAAATATATTAATTAATAATATTCTAAAAAATAAATTAAATATAATATTGCATTCACTTTATTTAAGTGTAAGAATATATTCAAAGTATTTTGCAAACATTTCCTTGACAATATTTAATTTGTATATAAATATAAAAACTGGACTTACCGTTCTTATCGCCAGGACAAGTTTTGCAGCATTTTCCGGGTAGTAGTATAGGATCATCACATAAAGCAGGTGGACATTCGTTTTTGATGTTTCGACATTGCACGCGAGCTACAATTCTTCGTTTTTTAGGCACCTAAAAAATTAATTAAAATAATATTAAATATATATAAATAAAATATTTTTTTTTGTTATAATAAACAGTCTAATGAAAATATAGAAATTAGAAAAATTTAAAGAAATAAATTTATAAACAAAACTTTTAAATCAAAATAAATTTAAAATAATAATAATAATAAATTTCAAATATTAAGGAAACATGGTGATTCTTTGATATAAGAAAAAACATTATGTTGGAAACAGGGAAGAAATGTGCAATATCTAAAAAATAATTTATCTTAATCGAAGCTGAGTCACGGCTTTATGTGAAGAGCTGTAATGAATCATCTAGCAACCTATAGAAATAGAAATAACAGTAACAGTACAGAAAAAGTAGATCTAACAGTGCGAAGTACTGCGCCTATTATAAACATTTAGCACTTGCAATAGATCCAAATCACAACAGAAGAATTCAGCTAAATTTCAAAATGTTTCATATTGACAATTTCATTATTAATTAAGGATAGGAACTTGTGGCTTAATATTCTGCTCATAACCCAAATCAAAGCCGTACAGTTAGAGAAGAGTACAGAAAACTAGTATAGAAAACTTTTGTTGAAAAATATTCTTTTCCAATCTGTTCCGAAGTCCAAAATTTTTCCTATTAATGATGTCTTTACATTAGACGGGGGACGGGGTCTAGTATTTGCTCGTTGCCCAAGTTAAAGAAAATTAATTTCTTATAAAATTAGTTATTCCCAATCTTCCCATAACTAAAATTATCTAAAAACATATCTATAATTATTTTATATAATTTTTAATTGAAATATAAAAAGTATTATATATCATAACTTTAATACAAATTCTTAACAGTTTATATATGAATATGAAGTAATAAAACTAATTATTTTAAAATTTATTATATCCTGTCATTATTATTAAATATTTTTATTGCTCTTTAGATATAAGGTTTTATATGATTTTATTATTTATATTTTAATATGTTAATCCATGGATTTCTCTTTTCTAATTTAAAATTCTATTTCCCAAGCTTTATACTCGTAACTGCTAAAATCGTTCTCAGCCGTCCTAATCGTCGTCTTACTTGACGATTTATAGCTTTTTTTGCAGTTAAATTTCTGCAAAAAAGAGGAAATTAAAAATAAAGAAAATCTGTAGAAAATGTGCCGAGACCTTTTAAATTCTCCTTAATGTGTTTATCTTGTTCTATTATATGTAATAAAAATTAAAAAAAAATTAAAATAAAAATATTTTTACGATATATTATTCATATTTTAATAGCCTTTTTTTCTTCAACTATAATTCACAATAAAAAAAAGTAATATATAAATTTTTATTTATTGAACATTTTTATGATTTTTAACATTATTTTCGTGTTGAATTGGTCAATTTTTTATACCACAAATACTTTTTAATTAAATTAAAAATAAATGCGAATATAAAAGAAAAAATCGCATAAAACGAAGCAGTAAAAAATTAAGCGGAAAATCGAAATTAAAAATAATGAACACTTTATGTACGGCTGAATGGACGGATGAACGTTGGGATGGACGGACGTGTGGACGTACCATAGTAGTTGGAACATGGGACACAAAGACGTACGAACGGAAGAACGTCATTAAGTTGAAATCAGGCTAACATTAATTTTAATATAAATTTCTTTTCTGTAATTTTCCAACCATTTCTCTATTATAAATGAACTCACACATATATATATATTTATATATATATATAATAATTTTTTTATATATTTAATTAGCTTGTTAGAGATTTTTATGATTTTATTTATTTTTAAATACGCATACATACGGCTTGGGAGTATTATTTAATAGTATTTAATAGTTAATAGTTGCAAGTCACTGGGCGATGTGCGCGCAACTTAATTAGTTAGTTTACACTTTAGTCGGTGTCATTTCGCTTGCCATTTTAACTAATTTCTAACAGTTTTATGCGTTCATATGCAATTTGTCGCTGCCATTTGCTGCCCCTGCCATTTTGCATGCATGTATACGATGTGAATGCGCCACGGTGCGAAACGGCACGGTATCTCTCGTACGCTTGCGTGTTTGCATGCAATATTATTTTTGCTTTTTTTTTTTATTGGTGACGCTTTGCTTATTTCTTATTGCTGCTTTTCTGTTGTTGCGTTTGTTGTTGGTAATATAATGTTCTTTTTTGCATGTACTAAAGTTTTTATGAGTTTTCTTCTTGTCATTTTGTTTTTTTTTTACTTTTCATTTCTGCTTGTTTGATGTATTTAAGGCGAATGTATTTCATTATTCAGGTTAATTACTTTGACGTCAAATTAATTAAGTCTCAAAAATAATATAAAAGGTGTTAAGGGTGATTGTTGGTGTTGATTTGTTAAATTATTAAATTATAAAAATGTAAGCCAGGTTGTATGAGAGAAAAATCTGTTTCGCTTAAGTTGAATTTAGGGCATTCATATTAATTTTATTTTATTTTTCTTACATGTTTTTGACACTGTTTTATTTACAAAAAAAAAAAAAAAAAACAATATCGCTCATTTTTATATTAATTTGTGCTCATTAAAATTAAAAATAAAAATGTTTCAAATATAAAAATATTTTAATAAAACGGCATTTTATCTGCTATCAAAAGCGCGACCAGACAGACTCTGACATAAACTTGACTATGCCATCGTCAACAATAAAAACATCGCCTACAACAACAACAACAACAGCAACAACAATGGCAGAAATACTTTACGACGTCAATTTATTTTATTTTTTAATATTATTTTTGAATTTTTTATTTTTATTTATATTTTTTATTATATTTCTATATTTTATTGTTGAATTTTTTAAATACACAAGTTGTCTGCAGTAACAAAAAAAAATAGCTACACTGTCATTTGAATCACAAAAGCTTTAACTTTGAAGAAATAGGGATCACTGTTAGGATAAATAGGCATGACAGTCTGTCTCAATCGAAAGGGCAATATGACTTTTTACAAAAAAGACTTAATAAGGCAGCACTATAAAGTTAATTTTGAAGAAAAAGCGATCACTCAGGATAAATCAGTATTTTAGTTTGTTTAAATGGAAAGGGTAGTAGGACCGAACACAAAAAAAAAACAATCAGGGACCCAAATAAAATTTAGTTTGAAATTAAACTAAAAAGATGCACCGTGTGATAAAAAATTACAGATATTAAGAGAAATTGTTTTTTTTTTAATTTTTAGGATATGTATTTTTGGGACATACTGCATCAGGCCGAAACCCGGTAACGGGTTGTTATGGTTAAATAAGTAAATATGTAAGAATATATAGGTATTACAATACATGAAAACCCTTTTGGCAAGATAAGTTACATGCTATCTAGTCTGGCGGTATCGCCATGGACAAATTTTTGTTTTGTTATTTCTATCACAATATTTATTACATAAAATTAAAGCATATAATACTTAGAAAGAAAGCTTTTATCTTTTATCGCTCTAGGTGTAAACTATTATATAAATCTTGTAAACTATAGTCAAATAAATCATCATTATCATCAGTTCCTTTCACTTCTAAGAGAACAAGATGCAAAATATATATAAATATAATCAAGAAAAACTGCAACGAAACAATTATGACCTAGGTATTTATTGAGATTTAGAAAAAAAAATATAATAAGTTAAACTTTCAATTTATAGTCTATTTTAAGTTACCGATCACTGCCGGTAAAATCACACATTTGTTAATCTTAGCGATTGTAAAGCTAATAAAAAATTAATAAAAATAATTATCAAAGAGATATTATACATATAATACATGGCAACTCTTTATGACAGGATTGCCATGTAATAACTTGTATGTATTCTTGGCAGGCAGGATCGTCCATGAATCAATAAACAACATGCATGGATAGGTAGTCATGAGTTCAGAATATTTTCACTACAGATGACAAAGTAAAAACAATAATTTACAATCATATTTAAAAAGCCCATATACCCTCGTTGACTTACATAAACTTTTGCGAGCCAATAATGAAACAAAGATTAAATGTTCTAAAGACTAGTATGAATGTAATAACTTAAAGGTTCATCAAGAACAAAATTCCGCTAAAATTGTCACACTACTGTGTATATCGTACTATACTTTTTATACTATACTTTTTAGTTTAAACGTTAGTTAGACATAATAATGTGAAAAGTTTTCTTCCTTTATTTTATCAAAACCTCTGTATCTCATACAAATGATTAATTTTGAACTATATATACAAATGTCTACGATTATTAATCTTTAAACGAAATCTTGTAGAATATTTGAAAGAAATCAATTTTTGGCTATATGACAAAAATTTTTTGTGTATTTTTCAATTGGAAAAATATTATCAATGCAAAAATATGTATGTTCAAAAAACTGTAATAAAAATAAAAAATAAATAAAAATGCTTGTAGGAAAAGGCATTAATCATTTAATCCCCGGGCGACAAGGCGCACACGCAATTAGCCTTTTTAAATATGGAACAGATACAAGATGCGATTTGTACGCACGGACACGTAGTACATTATTTATTATATATAATACATAAAATAATTTTGCTTAGAAAATAGATTTAAAAAATGAATATTTCCTGAATTGCGCAAAATATTTTATAATCTATAAAATAGTTCTTTAAACTGTCAAATGGAGAAGTATATGGGTGCCAGACGTATATTTTTGCACCACACTATACATATCTTTGAGTTCAAAAGTTTTATATTTTTACTTAATTTTTTTTTTTTTTTGGCACGCGAACTTTTTTCTTAACTTGTCTCTATTTGTTGCAACTATTTGCAAATAATATTTTTTATCTTTTTTTTTTGTCAGTGTAAGTAATTATTTGTTTTTTTCGCGTCTAACTGAAGGACCTTCTTAAATTGTTATCAATCATGTAGCGACGCCATCAAGAATGCCGTAAACTAATCCGAAATACGAAAACAAAAATGTAAGATCTTATGAACATTCTTTTTAAATTAACAAAAAATTTATTTTTGTATCTATGACGTACGAGGGGGCAAAGCAAAATTATGTTGCATAATACTTTCTCGTATTGGGAAATCAATGAAACAAATTTGAACTACAATAGAAGAAGATTTTCTAAAATTTTAATATAATTTTCTTTCAAATAAATAACTTATAAAAAGTTATTTAGTATAATTATAAATTTTTACATTTTATAATGGGCCAATACGCTTAAGTGTATACTTAGAATTGTCGGTATAACCTAACCTAACCTACATCCATTGATAATGGAAGTAAGGTACAAATAACTAGCATGTGTAAATCTTCAAGTCACGCCAAATTGGAGAATGGAGTCGTTTAATTTGTAGAGTTTAGAGTTTAAATAAAGCGCTATGTACGATATATCTGTTATGGTCACAATGCTTCTTGTACTTGGGTAATGATAATAACACTATGTATATGACAGCAGTTTATTTCATTTCGAAAAAAAATATTATTTTTTAAATAAAATATCGCTAATATTTAAATATATAAATAAATAATAAATACAACTTACCGCAACACATTCACATTTTATGCAGTACATAACTCCGAACGGTGGCCCCAAATCCGCATACCAGGTTGAACCGAGTTCTCGTAATGTTTTACCAAATTGACATTCAGATACTGTAAAAACAAAAAATAAATTTCAATAAATATTTTATTATTAATAATATTCATATAAATTACAATAACAAGAACTGCAATATTATAAAATAAAAATAATAAATATTTTATACTTAATAATATTTAATATAACTAAGGGTAGCCGTTAGATTTTTTACGTCCAAGCGTATAATATGGGTGTTAAAATTTGTAAAAAAATAGTTTTTAAAATTCCAACTATTCAGTACGGTTTTAGAAAAAATACAGGCTTACTTTTAATTTGTTTCAATGGAATCTCATAGATAATAATTTCTAACAAAGCTAAAAATAAAATAATATATTAAAATACTTTCCTTATGCAAACATTTGTTTGACGATGTTTATTTTATTGTTAACACATTTCGATAATAAATATAATATTTTTTAAAATTATAGTTAATTGAGAAAATCGATTTTAAAATAAACAAAACATCACAAGAAAATTGCAAATAAATTAATAAAAATAAAATGAAATGTGTTTCAAATTTTATTTGCCTTGAAAAATTAATTGAAACATTTTTCCGCATGATTTCATATTTGCAATTTAAGTTTAAAAATAAATTCTGTAAAATGTTTATTTAAAAAATAATGAGCAGATACATTAGTTGATGAGAAAGTAAATTTAGGATTCCATAAAAGTATGAAAAAAATTTATTTTATTTTATTTAGTTTATAAATAAAACTATATTTTAAACTATTATTGCCGCCATTGCGCTTCCAAGCCAATTTAACATATTGAATTTATATATATAATAGAAAAATATAGGTGGGAGTGTATAGTGAGAATCATTTAAGGGGTGGGAGTATTGAAAACTAATTCAAAGGTCATATTAAAAGATATAATTGAAAAACATTAATTCTATTTAGAATAAAATGCTTCGAAATAACCATTTTGTATTGTATCTATTGTATTTATTAACACAACAAGTGTAATAAATTAAGTCTATGTTGGGTTTGTATGTTAACAGACCCGACTATGGTTCAAATTTGACATGTTCAAATTTCTGACATTTGCAAATCGAAAGGTATATACGGGCAAATAAACCAATAGATGTTTCCAAAGGCCGCTGATGTTGAAAATTTAACGGTTTGCGAAATAGTCGTATGATCAGCTCAATAATTTATTTAATAAAAAATTAAAAAATATTTTATATTTAAATATATATTCTCTGTATTACACCCTCTCTTCTATTCGAAATAAATTTTTTCTCATGAGGTATAAAATTGCCAATTAAAATAATATTGCAAAATAAATCAAAATAATATCTTCTAAATTATAAAATATTTATATAAGCAATATATATAATATATATCCTGAACTTATATATATTATCGTTTAATATTCTATTATGAAGTAAAATTTTTTTATATATCCCCTACTATAACTGCTGTCTTCAATGTAGTTTTTAATTAGCCACTGATGATCAAGAAATCTAAATAAATTTTTAACTTAAAAATAAACTCAAAATCAAAAATCAATCGTTTGGAAAAATTATATCGCTTTTATGGCTGTTGTAGTCGTTCGACTGGCGCCAATTTAATTGCAAAAAAAAAATTTAAAAATTATACAAAAAAAAATGTGTTCATTTAGCAAAATTAAGCATAAATTGTTGAAAATTTTATAGTAAAAAAATCTTATCTGCGATAAAATAAGGTTAATTGCCACACTTATAAACGATAGAAGTAGTTAGAGTAGTTAATTTTACTCGTAATTACAGCGAAAATGTATGTTTCTGGGGTAAATGGAAAAAAACTTTAAAGTTTAATTAAGTGCTATAGCAATTTAAAAAACATTACATTCATTTCTATTCGTTTTAATTATTATATAAAATTTATTAAGTGCGAATAAATTATTTACAATTTTTTTTTGATATACTCGTACTCAAATAAAACATTAAGGCATTAAATTGATAAATAGAATTATTTTTATTTTAATTTGAACTTAATTAAGTATATATAATATTTATTAGTAAATTAGTAAATTATTTCTTCACAAAATAAACTGTACAGCTATTTCAACTATAAAGTATAATAAAAGGGGTATTCACAAAACTATAATTTTCTCCATCTATAAAAATGTGAAAAAAAACCCACATCAAACCACATAAAAATATATTTAAACTGATCATGTAGAGCGCCCTATGGTAGTCATTTAAATTGTTTAGTAGCCCACACACATTCGGAGAATTCTTCACATTCACATTTCACACTATAAATGTACTACAAAGCACATGCCAACAGTGATTCAATGGATTTTCTTGAACCAGCACTTTCAGCTGAAATTACACCGTCGAACCCAATAGAAAGAGAATCAAACTAATCAACTATAAAAATCTTTAATTGTTGCATTTAAGCTGGAAAATATACTCAGATGTACTCCGATAATACGTGGTATATCGAAAATCTAAACAAAATTTAATAGCAAATCGAATTCACATGTGTGTATGGAAGAAACTGAAGCCCCCCTTTGAGGTGACAACAAAACAATAAAAATTGAAAATGAACTCATTAATTTCATAGAATTTTCGAATCTACAAAAAACGAAAAAAAACACGATAAGATCAATCAATTCCATTGAAAAGATTTTGAATCAAATTGTGATTGCGGCGTTGATTGTGGATTGTAAAAGGCAGTGTCGGTGGGAATGTTAGCGCTGCTATTTTTGTGGTTTTCAATGGATTATTTTTACAAAATAAATGTGCTTAATCTACAGGTTTGAGTATATACATATAGAATATAATTTACTCATAATGTAACTGATAACGTAATTTTTTCAATTTTTTTTCGATACTATTTTATAAGCATTTATAATTACATATTTGAGTTTTTTTTTTAAATCAAAATTTATTTAATGTATATGAAACCTCATTCAAATTAAATAAATTCATCTTTAGACAAAATAAATCCATCTTTTAATTGATTAGACCTATTTTAAAATTGTATAAAATCAAATCATTTATGATTTTATAGCTATAACTCAGCTTTGTCCTTCTTTTTCCTTTTGTTTTAAACAGATTTTTTTATGTATTAGAATTTTTAGATAAAATTTAAGGCAAATCCTAAGTAAATAGTTGATTGAATCGATTATTTATACACCCTGTCACAAAAAAGTGAAAGCAGGACAGTACAGAACACGAACAAATACTGATATTCTCTTATTTCTATAAGATCAGAGTTGGGAAGCCCAAATTAAATCTCAGAGAAACAGATGTATCGATCATGTAACACAATGAATACTCCTACTACTGGTAAGAGTGGTAATTGTGTTAAAGAAATGAACACGTAAAACTATTAGGGTGCATCCCACTAATTAAGGATGACTTGGAATTCATACTTTGACACTAACTGGAAATAACCACAAGGATTGGAGAACCGTTATAAATAAATTTAATTTATTTATTACGGCAATAAAAAAATAGAATAATATAGGTTTAATAGGATCAGAAGATTAGAAATACTGCATTATTTTTAAACAAAAAAAAAAGGGATTTGAAGGATTTATATTGAATTGTACAGTATTAAATATAATGTGAATAATAAAGTGCAGACGAATAATAAAGATAAAGATAACCAAAGAATTATAGCTGTAATTTATATGATATAATCGTTAAACGTTCTATATGTGTTATTTATACTAAGTGACAAATTATTTAATTGACAAACTGCATTCTGGTTCTATATAAGCAGCATGTTTTTAATACTAAAATCAATATTGATTTAAATTTTTACTTAAAAGCACATATATAAAAAAAACAATTACTATTTACTTATATTGAAACAACAATTGTGTGACTGCATTGATTGCAGACACAAAGGCCACCAAATAGTTTCTCACTTCTATATGCTTGTGCGGTGGATGAAAAGATTTTACCAAAATTCCAGAAATTTTTCTCCATCACAGCCAGAACATAAAAAACTGAAGTACTTTGGAGTGCGTTTCACGCTGCGAGATATGTCAGCGGGTAGATAATAGGTAATCTTGTTCGGGATGGAATAAAAATCAATTGATTGATCTAATGAATGATATGTCGAAGTAATATAAACAGACAAAATAGTTGAAATATATTTTCAATGAATTCTTAAACTGTGCTCTTCACCTCTCTCGACCTGATTTCATACATAGAAATGTTTTATTACGTGCATTGAAGTATTGTTCCGTTGAAGTGTAAAAAATTAGAGAACATAAATAATTTTTCTTACATGTCAATTGCAGGCTGAAAAACCTAAAAATATTTAAAAAGTAAACAATGTTAAGTGAAAAATTAAGGTGAGAAAATCCTAACTCATGCGATGAATAACATAAATTATACAATGCCAAATAAATGATAAATTTAATGAATTTTTGTAAGAAGCTATATAATTTTTTATACCGGAAACTTTTTGTATAATTTTGTAGATTGTATTCTATTTTAGGAGTAAAATTTTTTATTCTATTTTAAAAATACTTGTATCATCATTTTTAATAAGCTAACCACTATATTTCTTTTATTTTAATGTGGCTGAATATATAGTTACTTCCATGTCCCGATTTTATAGTCTATTGAATACAGTACTTTAATGCATAGAATATAAATTGGATAAACTTTATCGTCTATTGGCAGTAAAAATATATTTGTGAGAGTTAATGGTTTCTCTTGTTAAGACATTATTATTTAAAAATCATCGTTATTGAAGGATTTTCGCTTAGAAGGATTTCGTTAAGACTTTAGAATAATTAGCATAGACATGAGCTATGAGTAACCTTAATAAAAATAATACAGTGGTGACATATCACATGGTTGCAAATTCACAAATTTGTTTTTTTATACAGCAAAGACATATGGGCCATCACACGGTTATATCGATCAGTATCGTGTGACAGTTATTGACACACTTAAATTTTTATTCTTACTATTATCTATGATATCTAATTATAATGCAAAATGAATATCTTTTGCATTATAAAACATTGCTTATGTTCTTAAATATTCTTTCTTCTTTTG